GTCACTTCAGTGCTTCTTACTTCCCTTGGTTAAAGGAAAAGACATGGCAGCCGTCCAGAGAACGCTAATGGCGCTGGGTAGCGTGGCTATAACAAAAGACGATGGACAATACAGAGGAAACAGAGAATGGTTTCACAGGTGAGCAAGGCATTTCCTATGCAGACGTATTGACAGCAGTGTGTTAGGTCTTGTGAATGGACTTTGCTGCGTCTCAGTGACATGTAAACTCCCTTTGATCCTGTCTGCGGCAGAAAGTCTCAAGGCAACCGGAGAGAGTTTTCTGAGGAGCAACTGCGCCAGGGTCAGAACCTGATTGGTTTACAGATGGGCAGTAACCGTGGGGCATCTCAATCTGGCATGACTGGTTATGGGATGCATCGGCAGATTATGTAAAGCTATACCAGTGCCCGGCAACCTGCCTAAAACACCTAGAAGACCTTAAACCCCCTCACACAGTCCTTTACCAAGCAGTGTTTCTTGATGGTGTGTCTATTTGATGAAGATATGATGAAACTGAAGTTTTAAAGCGATAGTTCACCCAAAAATAAAACAGTTGGTAACCATCAGAGTGTTTCAAACATTAATGAGTTACTTTTATTGAGCAGTTGGATGTTTGAAACCATTAACTTCCATAGTAGAAAAAAAAATACTATGGAATTCAATGGTTACTGGTATGCAACATTCTTCAAAGTATCTCCTTTTGTGGACAAAAGGAGAAAATCAAAGTGGATGGAGATTACACCATGACATTTGATATTTTGGGGGGGTTGAACTATCGCTTTAAGAAGTTAAAGCATGCCAGATACAGTATGTTTAATATAAGTTGGGATTGCTAAGCTTGTGAGAAGAATCACTTTATTTATTTGTATATGTATGCAGATAGTCATTATTAAAGATTTATCTAAGCAATCTGCCTTCTTTAAGAGCGAAGTGTGTGTGGATACACCAAATAACAAACCGCAGCTGTTTAATATAGTGTTTGAATGTACAGTAAAGGATGTGTACTGTTGTTATTGCTGGGTTTTAGCTAAATGGATGTCAATGCACATATTAGCAGGAAGTACTGTATGCAGATTAATAATAGTCATCAATAGTAAAGATATATTTGTTTGTGTTGTCCATCAGTGTTGTTGTGTGTGAACATTCCATGTGGGTTTCAATAAGCTTGGTTTTGGTGACCATGTTTGAAAATGTTTAATAAATTGGTATCTTAAATTGAAAGATGTGTTGTTCTTTCTTATAAAATAGCGGTCTAAACTTCAGGTTCTTAACTTAAAGAATATATAGGACTTTATTTCAAGGTGTTACATGTTCTAAGTACTTACTATTGACCTTATTCTAAAATACGGAAGTGCGCTCGTGTTTGAGATTATTTTAGAACTTTAGATTAAGTTGCCTATGGGAGAATAGGAATAATAAATCACAGAAAACGGTTAAACTACTTTACAAACAAGTGATTGCATGATTATACAGACAAAGCAGTTATACAATAAGACAATATCAGTTGCACCCACTTGTACACGAAGAATAAGGTGAATAGCAATTATGCATGATAGCATGCAACTAGACCTAAACTCTCATCCTAACCCTAATATTATTAAGTATTTATAATTAATTAATAATACTCTGTAGTTAAATGAACGATTTCACTGTAACAAGGACACAGTACAAGAAAGTTTAATCAAATATTGTACAATATCTTAAGTGTTTGAGTTCTTTTTCTTCAGTTTATAGTTAATTAAACTTATTTGTCAGACTTTCTCAATGTTTATGAGTTTATTTCTCACAACTCTTTCTCAAAACAATGATTTTTGTATCTCCGAATATTGAAAAATTCTGCGAAATTAAGTCAGAATTGTTCAATTTAAACATGGAATTCCAAGATTTGAACTTGGAATTGCAACATATAAACATGGAATTATGAAAAATAAGTCTCATAGTTTACGACTAATAAATCATTTTTTCTTAGACTTGAGGTTTTGCATCTTTCATTTTTGATGTATGAACTTAAAGTTGTAAATCTGTATCTTGCTATTCTAATAATATTAGCAGAATTGCTAGATATAACATTGAAATTGTGAGAAAAGTAGTCAGTTTATACCTTGCAAAGCAGACTTATGATTTTGTATAACACAATTTTGACTTCTAAACTCACAATAGCAAAGATATACAACCCCTGGAAAACAGAATGGAATCACCACTCTTGGAAGGTGCTCATTCAAATGTTTAATTGTGTAGAAAACAAAACCAAAGACATACATGCCACAAAACTATTTTCATTCAATAATCCAACCTTCTGGCTGTATGAAACACTAAGAAAGAAAAGAGAAAACACTAGTCATTTACAACTGTTTTTACAGGTCAAACTGAGGAAATAAATATGGAACCACACAAATCTGAGGAAAATTGTATGGGATCACAATGTACTGGAACTGTTTTTAAAACACACAACTGTATCTGATTACAACCACTAATTAGTCTGCAGTAAAAAAAAAGAGGTCTTGAACCAAGCTGATTGACATACTGTAACTCATGGCTCCAACATGAGGGATGAGGAGAGGATTATCAAACTTCTCAAAGAAGGTAAATCTTCACAGAATGTTGCAAAAGATGTTGGTTGTTCCCAGTCAGCTGTGTCTAAAATCTGAATCAAGTGCAAATCAAATGGGAAGGTTGTAAAAGTGAAGTGTACTGGTAGACCTATAGGGAGACATCAAATCGTCAAGACAGAAAACTTAAAGCAACTTGCTTTCAAGACAGAAAATGCACAACAAAGCAAATGAGGAATAAATAGGCAGAAAGTAAAGTCAATGTCTGTGACTCGACTGTAAGAAATCGCCTAAAATAAATTGGATTTATTTACAGAAAAGCCAAGCGTAAACCAACATCAACATGTAAACAGAAAAAATTAAGGTTTCAGTGGGCTAAAGAAAGACAATCTTGGACTGTAGACGACTGGAAATGAGTGATATTCAGTGATAAATAAATCACAAATTTGCATTGTTTGGTGCTGTTTCAATGAAATTTATTCATTGTATGAGGTTGTATGTCAGGTAAAGGTATGGGGAGATGACAGTTAATACATCCTTGATAAATGCACTAGTTTAGATTGAGATTTGGGACAGTTTTCTCATTCTATCAATTGAAAGAATGTTTGGCGATGATGACTCAATTGTTCTAGACGATAATGCAAAATCTGCGATAACTTACCGGAAAGATGTGTAATGTAAATGGAATGGCCTGGAAACAGTCCAGACCTCAATCCAATTGAAAATCAGTGGTGGAAATGAAAGAAAATGGTCCACAACAAAGCTCCAACCTGCAAAGCTGATCTGGCAACTGCAATAAGATAAAGTTGAACTCAGCTTGATGAAGAATACTGTTAAATACATGCCTCAGATAATTCAAGCTGTTATAAAAGTCAGAAATGGTGCAAAAGTAGTACAAACAAAGTACTAGTGGTGTTTTTATTTGGTGATTCCATATAATTTCCCCCTGTTTGATCTGTAAAAACAGTTGTAATTGACTACAATGTTCTTTCCTTTCTTTTCTTAGTGTTTCATACAGCCAGAAGGTTGGATTATTGAATGAAAACAGTTTTGTGGCATGTGGGTTTGGTTGTTTTCTACACAATTAAACATTTGAATGAGCACCTTCCAAGAGTGGTGATTCCATACTTCTTGCCAGGTGTTGTACAGTATATCTTATGCGGACATTGAGGGGGGAAAAAATAGAAATGCTATTTAAACTCAGAATTACACAAATGATCTTGAATCTTTTTTTTTCATCCATAGATTTTCCTCCCTACAAGATTTAAACTAACAACTTTGGAGATAAAAAAAAAACGGACACATTAACTGTATTAACTAAAGTTTGATTGATTATTAACAAATTTTTTATTTGTTTTTTAACCAAGGCAGAAACACGCTTTCATGTCAACATGAGTGCCCATAAAGAATAATGCTTTAAAAATGTAAAAACAGTCAGGCAGATTTTGCCTTTAACCCCAGTTAAGTAGTCATACTTTACACTGAAGACATTCAGGATAAAACAGCCTATGTCAAATAATTATGTCTTAAAAAGATTTGTTTAACATCCCCCTCACCCCCCCCCCCCCCCCCATTTTACCCATTTCTTTCCTCCTTTGAACACAAAAGTAGATCTTTTGAAAAATGTTAGAAAGGAAACCAGTGTCAAGTGATTTCCATAGTATTTTTTTTCCTATCAGGGATACCAATGTGTTTCCACATTATTCAAAATAACATCAGAAAACATAAAACTCACAAACATTTAAATCCAAATTTTGGGTGCAAACTCTCCCTTTAAAATGACCTATATATTCTAAAGCTGCTTTATACTGTATGGTGTTGTACAGCTCTGTCATATGCACTCTTATATAGGCATAGAAACCTTTTAACTTTAATTGAAATCTTTATGTTTCAGTGTGGGAGGCAGACAAGACATATTTCAAACGCTTAAAGCCAAATGGAACAGCACTCGTAAGGTCAAGCGCTGGGATGCGTTGGATTGCATTTGCAGTGTCACTGAAGTGGAAATTTAATCAAGAGGAGCTGCATGGGACCATATGGACTAAGCAGCGATGCTCTTTAGACCGACTTTATGGATGTTCGGTAACATTTCTAAAGCGACCAAATCAATATTGACAAATTAAATCAAAAGATGCAATGGGCCGAATGCAACAGACTGGCTTTCAGTTTAACATTAAGCTTTACTCCGCAGTGGAATGAATGTAAATGGCTTTTGTTTGCAAGAGCATGCTAATATGGGTTGTGCAGTAGCATGTTTTAGGTTGATTATTATCTAAACTGAAATACAAAAAGGAATATAAATAGAGGACACAGGTGATGTGTAACGCATTTGGGTACAATAAGTAATCTTAACAATGACTTTCTGACCAATGAAATAACAGGTTTGGAGTCTGACAAATCTTCAAATATGCACATTATGCGTCCCTGAACACCATTTTTGGACTCTAGTGGTGAAGGTGCTTAGGAAAACCATGCTCTGTCCCAGACTCATCTGTACGCTTTTTCTAGTTGTGTTGGTCAATGCTGCAGAACAGAGTGCTTCTGACAAAAGTCCCGGTTGTGTTTGTGGTCACCCCGGCATTCCTGGAGACCCGGGACACAATGGAATGCCAGGTCGTGATGGCAGAGATGGGGCCAGAGGTGACAAAGGAGATAGAGGTAAGAATGAAAGCAAAACTTCCTTGACTCCATGTTAATCAGTCACCTTTGAGCTAAGTTATAAGGCAAGATAGGTACACAAGTTGAACAAAGTTGTAAAATAAATACTTTGGTACTATTTTGAACGTAAAGTGCAAGACATTGGCATGGTTTCTCAAACTGGTGGTAATTTGACCTCTATTCACTCTTAAGAAAAATACTTTTGGAGAGGATTTTTACAGTGAGACCACAAAAGAGCTACCGTTTCTTAAAATGTCTTTCAGTGAACAGTTCTTAAAAGAACCATGTTTTTTTTACTGAGAAGAACAGTTGAATGACTTAAAGACATGTTTGTATTAATGGAATGTTTCATAAATGTTAAAGGCTGTTATGGAACCTTAACTTCCATAATAATTTTTAATAGTGTATATTCATTGTGCAAATGTTTCATAGTAAAGTATGTAACTTTTGGTGCTTTCTGAAGGTGATATAGGAACATGCGGTGATGTTGGTAAACCGGGGCTGAAAGGAGATAAAGGAGATTCTGGTAAATATTACTTTCGTTGTGCGCATTTATAAATTTTCAAATTCTTATACTGTACATCAAGAAATACATTTTAAAAAGTCATTTCTTAATGTATACCAGGGGTCACCAATCTTGGCCCTGGAGGGCCGGTGTCTCTGCAGAGTTTAGCTCCAACTCTCCTCAACACACCTGCCTGGAAGTTTCTAGTATACCTTGTAAGATCCTGGTTAGCTTGTTCCAGGTGTGTTTGATTAGTGTTGTAGCTAAACTCTGCAGGACACCAGCCCTCCAGGGATGAGTTTGGAGACCCCTCCCTGCAGGCACAGGACGTCAACATGAAGTCATATTGACGTTGTACCCCAACGTAGCCCCAATGTCATGGGGAAATTGAATTTTGTTTGTAAATGAAAATCGGGTTGACGTCAATGTCTAATGTCCAACCTAAAATAAAAAATTAACATAATTTGACGTCATTTTTGGATGTTGTCCTTAGATGCTGGCTAGACATTGATTTTTGGTCACCTGACGTCATGACCTAAATCTAACCTAATATTAACGTCTTTTGATGTGTGCCTGCTGGGCTGATGTATACCAAGGGCTAAACTATATTGGATCATTTTGACAATCAAATATGCCTTTTAGGGTGCTTTCACACCTGTGAATCGATTCAGTTGTTCCGAAACAGAGATTAAAATTGTTACATTGTTGCTCTTTGCTCTTGGAGCGGTTCGCTTTCACACTGCAAAGTTTCTAATCGGACCAAAAGAGCTAAAACAAGTCACGTGCGAGTAAACTCTCCTTACATTGGTCAGAGTGTCAGGGTTTATTTTGCAGCGTCCCGCTCAGCTGTCAGGAGAGGATGTGGTTTGGTGGTGATTGACAGGGTGCGCGCGCGTGACGTGTCTGAGGAGAGATGCGGTGGGGAGGGGTGAGAAGGGTGCGCGACGATGCCTATTTGAGGACTGGGAGAGAGACGCAGGATTACCGGGAGATCATCACTCGTTTGCGGGCATCCGGAGACTCGCGAAACTTCCCGTCCTATTTATAATTCTCTCTTCATATAGCCGTATGCCTATTACATATCCATAAAACACTGTGATATAAGCGCGCTCGGATCTGATTGCTTTCTCACTGCAATCGAACCGCTCCAGGGTTCGTTTCAATCGAGCCGAGACCACCTCACTCAAGCGATCTCGGAGCGATTACTTTGGCGCGGAACAGAGCGCGATTGCCCTGTTCACATATGCCAATCGAACCGCGCTAACTGGGCAAACGAGATACGTTCCGAAACAAAAGTGTAGGTGTGAAAGCACCCTTAGACTTAATGAAAATGAAAAAACATGTTTGTTGTTTAGTGTGAACATATCTAAAGACTGGAAATTTAATGTCCCTGCAGAGTTTAGCTCCAACTCTCCTTAACACACCTGCCTGGAATTTTCTAGATGCTGGTTTGCTTGTTCCAGGTGTTTGATTGTGGTTGTAGCTAAACTCTGCAGGAAATCTGGCCTTCCAGGAATGAGATTGGTGACCCTCCCTGCAGGCACAGGACATCAGCATGACATCATATTGACGTTGTACCCCAATGTCATGGGGAAGTTGGATTTTTTCAGGCTGACGTCAATGTCCAACCTAAAATCAACCAAATATCAACGTAATTTGACGTCATTTTTGGATGTCAAAATAACGTCCTTAGACGCTGGCTAGACATTGAATTTTGATCACCTGATGTCATGGCCTAAATCTAACCTAATATTAACGTCTTATGATGTGTGCCTGCTGGGCTGATGTATACCAATGACTAGACCATATTTGTCAAGTTTGGATCATTTTGACAATCGAATATGCCTTTTACACTTCATGAAACTGAAGAAACACATTTGTTGTTTAATGTGAACATATCTGAATACAGGAAATCTCTGTCCTGGAGGGCCGGTGTCCCTGCAGAGTTTAGATTCAACTCTCCTCAACACACCTGCCTGGAAATTTCTAGTATACCTCGTAAGATCCTGGTTACCTTGTTCAGGTGTGTTTGATTATGGTTGGAACTAAACTCTGCAGGACACCTGTATTACATTATGAATGTTTTTATATTTGAAATGAATAAAACAAAAATGCTAATAATTTTAAATATTTACATGTGCTGGACAAAGATTAATCATTATGAATTGCATTCCAAATAAAAAGTTTGTTTTGACATCATATATGTGTGTGTGTGCTATGTATATTTATTATGTATATACAAAATTACAAATACACAAATGCTTGCATATATTTGAGAAATTGTTTATTTATATTTTGATTTAAAATATATATTTATATAATAGAAATTATATTTAAATGAAAGTGTATCACATCTGAACTACATATACATGAAAAATATATATGATTCACACACATATATATTGTCAAAACCAACTTTTATTTTTAATGTGATTAATTGCGATTAATCTTTGCCCAGCACTAGCACTTACATAATTTATCATCATGTTTTCTTCATTATATTATACAGTATATTATAATTTATTTTACAATGTTCATTTTAAGATTTCTTGTGTTTCTTGGATAGTCATTAACAGCCTGATCTTATGAGGAAATGTAACTATTTTATGTTTTGTCAGTTTAGTGTCTAATGTACGAAAATGTATGATTTTTAAAGAGCCCCTATATATGCTGGTGTTAAACTGCATTGCTTTAATTCTCTCCTGCATTGGGCTCACACATACACTCTGCACTCCAACTACTTCAAAATTGTTGATAAGCCTAGGTAGGCATTTCTTTCTGTCTCACGCTGAACGCAGTCGACCATTCACAACAGACTGGGTCATTGACTAATCAGTGCAGATTAAGATCATGCTAAGGAGGGGTTTAGGAACAAATGAATCACTAAACGAATCATATGGGAATTAATTAGGTAAAAATAAATGCATATTATAAAACAAATATGACCTTTTTTTAATTCATAATAGGGGCTCTTTAAAAGGAGGCATGGCACCCAACTCCACCCCTAAACCTAATTGTCATTGGGGGATAAGCATATCCTAGTAAATTGTATGAATGAGATCATACGATTACACACAAATTAGCCACTAAATCAAAAGTTATGAATTACTGTGCGTTTGCTTTGTAACAGCATATGTCTAATGCTATTATCATTAGGCTACTCCTTTTTCAGGTATTGCAGGCATAACTGGTCCAAAGGGCAAACGTGGAGATACTGGGGAACGGGGCCCACCTGGCAAAATGGGACCCCAAGGCTTTGCAGGGCCACTGGGATTAAAAGGTCAGAAGGGAGAACTTGGTATTCCAGGACCACAAGGCATAAAAGGAGATGTCGGTCCAGTAGGCCCTGAAGGACCACAAGGAGACATCGGCAATAAAGGAGACAAGGGCATACAGGGTCCATTGGGGCCTCCCGGACGACCAGGCCCAAAAGGTGAGATCGGACAACCAGGTAATAAAGGCAGCATTGGTGTTCGTGGTGAAAGGGGGTCAAAAGGAGACATGGGAGAGCAAGGTCCAAAGGGGGACATGCCAGAGATACCAAAAAGTGCCTTCTCAGCCAGATTAAGCGACAGCACCAAATTACCAGCCGCTAATGCTCCAATTCGATTTGATAGAGTCCTCTATAACAGTCAAGGTCACTATGATCCTGAAACGGGACGCTTCACGTGTGCCATCAGGGGAGCGTATTTTTTCACCTACCATATCACTGTCTTCTCTCGCAACGTGAAAGTGGTGCTGATGAAGAACGGTCAGCGAGTCATCTACACTATGGACAGCTACCAAGGTGGTGAGGACCAGGCTTCTGGTGGGACCGTCCTGGAACTGGAAGTAGGCGACAAAGTGTGGTTGCAAGTGGCTGATAGACAGCTATACAATGGGTTGTATGCAGACGATGATGATGATACAGTTTTTTCTGGATTTCTTCTTTTCGCAAGCTAAAGATCCTGCCTGAAGTCGTGCAAATAACAGGAAGAAAATGGATAACACTTTACAATAACAGTACATGAGTAATGATGTACTAATATGCAATCTAAGAAACAGAAATGTGCGCACATCTAGGATTCTCAAAGGCATGTGCTCAATCAAAAACACAGTGGCAAAAGTTCAAAAGAAAATCAGCACACTGCCACTTTAGCTCTTCTAAAATATATACCTTAACAACATTTCGACCTACATGGGCTTCATCAGGAGAAGCTAAGTCAACCTGATGAAGGTTAACCTGATGAAGACCATGTAGGTCGAAACGTTGTTACATTAAAAATGTTTTGAGAGCTAAAGTGGCAGTGTACTGATTTTCTTCAGATCTTTAGCCACTTTGTTAATATGCAAAATAAAAAATATTATGAAATAATGATGCGTTAATGTATGCGCGAATCATGAACTAACTTTTAACTTTTGTTTTTAAGTAATGTATTAATTAACATTAAAGTTTAAGCTAAATGTATGAACTCATGAGCTGTTAATGTATAATTATGTCATGACATTACTTAAAGGGCACATCATCATTAACTCATTCTTAACTATTGTTATTTATAGGGTTGTCACGATACTGGAATTCGATACCAATTGGTACTTTTATTTTTCAATCGTCAATTTCCTGTGAACATTTGAGCGCATTCTTAAACAGTGCTGAATTGCCATTAGGCATGGGCTGGTATAAGATTATAAGGGTATGATATCCTTGGATAAAATAATGATGGTTTCACGGTATCACGGTGTTGTGATTACTGCTCTAATATATATTCTTTTTAAATGTCTGGGTACTAAACAAAACAAAAAAATCCTCTTTGAAAACAATATATTTTATTTTTAAAAGATTTATAATATTTTGGAGCAGTAAACATGACAGGCTAAATAATACAAATGAATTAGTGACTTCTGCTGTCTTCATTAGTTTCAAAAACACAGATTTCTTTACAATTTAAAACAGCATCTTCGGATATATTTTCTGCTGGAGATACTGTTGGACTAAAAAAAACTTTTACACATACCTTAGGAATGGTATTAGAGAAAATCTTGGTTGTTTTAAAACCCTAACTTTTCCAGACCGGGGTATACCTTGAAAACGGTTATCGTCCCATGCGTATTTGCCATTGTATTCACGTGCTCAACAGAAATGACTGTGATTGGCCGCGAAGATCATCAGTTCTCTGAACTCACCACTGTTTACTGAGTTTAACCACTGGAACAGGGACACTGCAGCGTTTTAAATGTCGATCAGCTGGTTTGTGTATAAGTTGACAAACGAGTGATCTGCTGATAAATCGCGGCTTTAAAACACTCCAGTGTCCCTGTATCTGTGATTACACTCAGTAAACAGTGGTAGGTTTAGTGAACTGATGACCTTCAAGCCCAATCACAGTGTTTTTTGTTGAGCATGTGAACTAAATGGCAAATCAGTGCTGTTTACAAACGTGCTCTACAGCAATAAAACTTTAGCTGAAAATGGATATTTTAAAATTTCGTTACCGATTGGTATCAACTTCCAGTATAGTGACAGCCCTAGTTATTTAGTATAAACGCACTAGTTGGACATGCATAAAGAGTTCATGAGTAGTTAATAATGGGTTAATGATGATGTGCCCCTCCAAGTAAAGTCATGACATCAATCTACATTATCATATCATGAGTTCATGATGGTTAAATTAAGCATAAACTAAGGTGGTAATCAATACATTAATTAACAAACAAGCATGTAAAGTAGCCGTTATTCACGCAAAAACTTTTGTGACTCATGTTGTTGTTAAAGTTAGTTCATGATTAGCGCACGTATTAACTTATCATTAGTTTATGATAAAGTCTTCAGTTTACATATTAATACATCATTATTCATGTACCATTATTGTAAAGTGTTACCAGAAAATGTTCAAAATCAAGAACAAAGCATAAATTTAGAGTTGTAATGAAAAATAAATGAAATCTTCTGTTGTAAATGAGATTGAGAGAGTGTTTTTGCTAATTAAAGCATCACTATTATATTCAGTCAAAATGTATATATCAGTTATGTAATTGAATACAATTTAAGTTGAAAAGACTCAATAGGAAACAATGGTGTCATTATTCTGCTCAATTGGGGTTCCATGATGACAACAGTGCACTAAAAAAGGAAATAATAGAAGTTTTACCTTTGTTGTTTTGAAAAGGTTTGCATACAGACAGCATTGTCAGATAGACCCTGTTCACATGTATCAGCAATGATCATTTGTTAGGACAGAAATTCTCATAAGGCATGAAGTACAATTGATTAAAACTGTTGATCATATTGATGGATATGACTTTAAGGCAAAACACTGCAAGTGAACAGGGAAAAGCTAGCTAGCTTATAGATAACCTACAAAAGCCAAAAAAAAAAAAAAAAGATTTCAGTTGAAGTCAGAATTATTAGCCCACCTTTGATTTTTTTTTCTTAAATATTTCCCAAAATTATCAGCCCCTTAAAACTATATATATTTTTGATAGAACAAACTATCGTTATACAATAACTTGCCTAATTACCCTGCCTAGTTAGCCTTATTAACCTAGCTAAGCCTTTAATGTCACTTTAAGCTGTATAGAAGAGTCTCGAAAAATATCTAGTCAAATATTATTTACTGTCATCATGGCAAAGACAAAATAAATCAATTATTAGAAATGAGTTATTAAAGCTATTTTATAGAAATGTGTTTAAAAAAAAAAATCTGCTCTCTGTTAAACAGAAATTGTAAAAAAAAAATAAACAGGGGGGCTAATAATTCTGACTTCGACTGTATTTGGAGGATTTGAATGTATGCTCAAATCTGTACTCTTGAATTATTTAATAATTACATTTATTATTCTCATAATCTTGGTCATATATTTATTAAATGCTACACTATTATCATGTGGCCAGTAGTAGCCAGCTAGAACGTGCAAATTCCTAGCACTTAACTAAATTACAGTTAAAGGGATAGTTCACCATCAGGGGAGCACAGGGCATAAAGTAACATGGAGTAAAATGTAGTTTTAATGAATTTTCTCAGGGTTACAGCAGATGTCTTCCTAACAATTTTTTTTATTTTATTTTAATCAGCAAAATATGGATGAGAGACCATTTTTGCAGCATTAAAGTAATTTAATTATACTCTCTCTATATATATATAAATAAATAAATATATATATATATATATATATATATATATATATATATATATATATATATATATATATATATATTTTTTTTTTTTTTTTTTTTTTTTTTTTTTTTTTAACTTGTGAAAGCATGTATGTAAAATCTTATAATGGTATGGGCTTATAGATGGAACCATTTTGAAAGATGTAAAAAACACACAGTGACTGCAAGCCAGTTTTGAGGAAAACATGACACAGCGGGGTTAGTTGTAACAGGGTGTTACAAGTAAGCCCCACACTGTTGAACACCAATTAAACAAAATAATTTTGGAATGTTGAGTATATAGTTGGAATATTTCTAAATAGAAAACGTTTTTTTATTAAAAAAATATTTTACTAGAATATTATTGCTAATAATGCAAATAAATTAATTGTATATTCATGGTTAATAATGCAAATACATCCAAATATGTTTATCCAATAGATAAATAAATAAACATGCTGTGCTATGTAGAATAACATTTTTTATTAAGTACTGAGGAAATGTACTATTTAAAGTAAACTGAATTGAAATTAATTGTGAGAAATCTGCCTTTTTAAAGCACATGGTACAGCTAATCCTCTGTCTGTTACAACTTGCCCCGCAGGTGGGGTAAATAGCAACATTTTTACTCCTGGCACTTTTGGTAATACTGCACAGAAATCATAGGTCCGGCGATCTACCACCAGTGCTCTTTTGTAGAAGGCTAATGTGTTAAAATTATACTTGTGTGGTAAAAAATAATGTATGTTTAACCTTATTACTTTGTTCATTATTTGGCCAAAACCAAAAGTCTTACTTTGTGCCCCGCTCTCCCCCATTTACTCACCCCTCACTTGTTCCAAACCTGTTTGAATTTCTTTCTTCTGTTGAGAATATAAACATTTAAACACTGACTATCATAGGTGAGGTGAGGTGAGGTAAGGTAAGGAAAAACTTTACTGTGCCAGTAAGGGAAATTTGTCTTGGGCTTTTGCACTCAGCTGCAGTCATCACAAACATGCTAAAACAATACAACATACAAAAAAAAAAAAAAAAAAAAGAGCTCATAAATAAATAAATAAATCTACCCTCCACCCCCCAAAAAGTAACATGCCTACCCCCATAAATGAGCAAAACAGATACTCTCAGTCTGAGCCACCACTATTATTTAATAGTTTAATGCTTACTGGAAAAAAGGAATTTTTTTTATTGATTTAATCTACTGCAAGATACTGTGAACCTTTTCCCAGAAGTTAACAACTCATACTCCTTGTGCATCATGTGATACGTCACAAACTATTTGTTTAGCATGTCTTAATGTGTCCTGTTCATACATATGCTGCAGTGACATCTGATCTGATACACCAATTTTTTTTTCATGCAGTGTGAATCAAACGGTCTACTTTAGATCTCAGCTGCACAGACAAGTTGCCAAACCAGGCTGTGATGCCGTACCTTATTAAGCTCTCAAAAACAGCCTGATAAAACATGATCATACATTTTTGATCCACTCCATGAATTCTTAGATGTTGTAAAAAGTAGTTGTTGCTGAAGCTTATGCAGAGATTGTCAACATGTAGGCTATATTCCATTTCAGTGATCAAAAAGACACCAAGATATTTATGAGCTGACCTGGGTGATGGATTGAGTATTGATGGTCACTATGATCGCCAATTCCTCTAGGGTCAAACACCATCTCTAGTGTTTGTTCTATAGTAGGCCTATTTGTTTTTTCCTATTGATGTCAATGATTACAGGTTTCTAACATTCTTTAAAATATCTTCTTTCGTGTTCAACAGAATAAAGAAGCTCATAAAGGTTTAGAACCACTTGAGGATAAGTAAATAGTGCCTAAATGTTAATTTTTGGGTAAACTATTCCTTTACCTGTTTGTTTAGAAGATGTAAAAACATGCTAAGCAGAGCAGAACATAAAAGCTAAAAGTAGCCTACTTGTTACCCTTCTGCATATCGAGAAGAATGTTAAAACAAAACAAAAATAATTAAAGGGCACTGTAACATCAAACAAATGATATCACAGTCGTGGTGCTGGTGGTTTTGGCAGGCGTCCCGTGCGCAGACTATGAACCGCGTATCACAGCCGACCTTTTTTCTCCGCCCCGCAGCAATCAGCGCAACAAGTGCACTGATGCTGGCCAATACCGTCGCGACGCTGCCTGCAGTCATGGCTCTCTGGCTGAGCCCTTCCACCGAACCTATCCAAACTTTTTAACCGATACGGGTTGACCCTCGAAATCAGGTTGATTTATTTCGTTAAATTACATAGCCTGAAGGAGTTGGCGAGCCACGGACAGTCGCACTTTTTTACGGAAAGTTTTCTGCTTCTGCTAACGTTAGTTGTGTGACTACGGAGTGTTTGTTCACGCACGAGACGAAATATTGGCGTCTGTCTGCTCATCGTGTACTTTAAGATTCACCATTGGTTTGTATAACGATTTCCGCTAGGTTACTATGCGTAATTTGTCGGACATTGGACTGTCGGAGGAGTTAGTCGGGTCGATCGAAGCCGAGCAACTATTGTGACACCGGGCCAAGACACCGCTCAAGAAGTATGATAAAGGTAAGACTCTGCGTCTAAATAATATCTGCTTTTCGGGTTCATATGTGGGTTTTGTATGTTTTAAAATCACAACGTATGCGTGAACATGTGCGGAGAAAAGTTTGACTGCGGGTTTATCATCTTGCCAGTTCCGTTGGGTTCAAAAGAGGCTGAGGGGAGGAGGAGGGTATTGTGTATGCGTTACTATCCCACTAGTTACCATAGGGATGTGGGGGGTGTTTTCGCGCAAAGCTTGTAGGGATATCGGAGAAGTGAAGGAGGGGGTTGGTTGGGGTGGAGGTGCTTCTTAAAGAGCTTTATAGAGAGACTGAGTTCATTAAACTCACAAATAAACCAGAGTTTTTTCTTCTCTCTCTTCTGGGGAAAAAGCCCAACTTTGTGTAATCGCCTTCATTCATACCAGCTCGCTCTTAAACCTGAAATAGTTGTCTTGATTTGTCCTGCTTGAAAGCTTTTTATTGTGGTGGAACAGAAGAAGGGGATTTTTGTTTTCAGCTATGTAAGGACACAAACATGTCATGCAGTGTTTCATAGATAACTGGTTTTAAACCAGGGGTCCCTGGATCAGGTTTGATCGATATGGCTTTAACTGGGTTAAAATGGCATGCTGTTCTTAACTGACAAAGCTGATGCTTAACTGGTTGGTTAAGTAGGACTTAGCCTAAAGGGTTGGTTCCCCCAAATATTTATTTTTCAGTTTATTTACATATCCTCAGGCCATCCAAAATGTAGGTTACTGCACAGAATGATTGTTTTGCTTCATATACAGTGCTCAGCATATAGACCCCTTACAAATCTATCTTTTAAATTCATATTTTATAGAAGAAGCTATTGTTACGTCTATCATTACAATATTATATTTGTGCATACATTAGATTAGTCAGTACTAAAGCCAAATCTGGAGCTTATCTAACAAAATAATTACACTTACATTTACACTTACAATAACGGTTCTAAAACTAGTACACCCAAATGCATGTTAGAAAAATATTAAATACAAATGAACAAAAAAGGAACAATCAAGAGAAGCGAAAAAAAGAATATTTTGCTTGAATTTAATTTATTATCTTTCAATTTCTAAATATGTTTGGTGACAAAAATATTATTTTAATAAATATATCTGCTTAATAAATCTGTTTTGTTTAAATGCACACAAATAAATTGCCCATATTCACTGAGAAATATATTAAAACATATATTTTCAAAGTGGCGTGTATACTCATGCTTAGCACTGTAACTTCAATG